CTGCTAATGGCTGATTGAAACCATCTCCGCCTGTAATACTGCTGGATCTGCTCAGTTCTGCTGTGTTCTCTTCAATTAATTACACGTGTTGTGAGGTTATAGGACGCCAGAAAGAAAACAAGATGTCTTTAATCCTCTTGGCTCCTCTGAACACTGAGTTACTGTGACCAACCAATAAATAATATACTGTATCTTTTCGCTATTAACTACATTATAATTTTGACCAACTAAACATCAGTCCTTGTGAGTGGATTTAGCATAGAGGCCTGTGTTTAACGATATCCTATGAGGGTGAGAGATGCACATGGTTCCTTAACTGAACAAGCATCTTGAAAGGTTTTGCTGTGCAATGGGCTGCTGTGCTCGGGGCAGAAGGCTGGTGTGTGTGTGTGTGTGTGTGTGTGTGTGTGTGTGTGTGTGTGTGTGAAGCAGCTGTCTCTCAGATTATATAATTATTGTTATTATGGAGAGAGGAGCAGGAAGGAACACCTGGTTTTGATAGGTCTGGTTCCAGCAGCTAGGGAGGAGGATGCCCATAGCAGACCTGGGTTCAAATTGTATTTGAAATAATTGTAAATACTTTAGCTGTGCTTGATTGGGCTTGCATGTTGCAATGGAACCAGTAGACAAGTCTCAAAATTGCAACCCTTGCAACCTGACACCAGAGACAGGCTCATTGCAAACGTGAAAGTATTTGAAAGATTTCAAACAGTATTTGAACCCAAGTCTGGCCCATAACTAGCAGCACTCACGCAGTGCTGTGTTCAGACAAGTCCCCACTGAGATTTTGCACTCTCCTTATGATCAGACCCTGTCCTGGCTACAAAGCTACTGCTACTGCTGCCCAAATGTTGTCTGTATAGTGGTGCAGGTTGGGTGGAGCATATGTTGCTTTATTTCTTTATTCCTATTGTGTACAATCACACCACCCTCCTGTTTTGTCTCTTTTGATCTTTGAACTCATTCAGTAGGAGTTTTTTTTAAGAGTTAGGCGTCCTCTAAAGCACTTTGAGAACCTGTTGAAAAAGCACTATATGAATAAAATAATGTTCTATTATATTCATTTTAGTTGGAAGTGTGGGCCTACATTACCAGTTGATCCACAACAACTAAATAAACCCCTTTCCTCCCCTCCCAGCTCCAGAGAGTATGGTATGTTATTAGTCCTGTCTGGCCCAGCCCCCCTGTGTCCTCAACAGCCCTATAATATTCAGGGAGCAGTGTGACCGGGGCCTGACCCTCCCCTCCATCTACCTCACGCTCAGCCAACAACATGGGACCCCGCTGGTCTGCCACATGGGATACAGCCAGTTAATTGCACTACACCACCACCCCAGCCTCTCACCCTGAGCTGTTCATTTGAAGTTTTTAGATGCCAGTTGACACTTGAGGCCATTTGACACACGGAGAGAGAAGGAGAGGAGGAGAAAGCGGGAGAACATCAGAAGGAAGGTAAGGAGTGCTGGAGTCTCCCCCCCCCCACCACCTCGCTCTCCCCCTTTCCCCCCGGCAGGCAGGCAGGGAGGACCAAACCAACGTCCTGTAGCAGCAGGAACAAAGGCCTGTATACGGGGGCTGTAAAGGGAGGAGAGGGAGGGAGGGTGTCGTAGAGAGTGCGGCAGACTTATTAGAAGGCATTGTCGACCCCCCCCCCCCCCCACACACACACACACCTATACACCCCTCGGCCTGTATCAGAGGTGTGATGCTGTGGTTTGCCTGCTGATTGGATACTGGTGTGGCTGGTGGCAAGGGCCTGTTGCAGGCAACTGTGTGTCGTCTGTGTGTGGGTTTGTTACTGTGTGTTTGTCGTCTTGTGTGTGTGTGTGTGTGTGTCTGGGTGTGTGTGACCTCCAGCTTCCTGCTGAGAGCAGGGTGTTAAACCCCAGGACGGCAGGCCCAGGAGCCCACAAATAAAACCCCAAGGCACCACTCCGCCTTCCTCTCTGTGGCAGTAAACATTTAGTTAGTAGCTAGCTCGGTAGCTCCCTCCGAAAACGTGACTTTTAAAACTTTGAAAAGGCTGCGAGCAATGTTTGTTTGACTCACAAAAAATGTCAGGGCTTTGCTCTGAAGATTGAATATTGAATTCAGAGGAGTAAAGCCCAAATCACACGGAGAGATGATGTCAACTGAGTCAACATTTTCACGCGAGAGTAGAGCGTGTCAATTCCAACTTAATTGTCACCAGAACCCATAATAAGCAGTTGTATTTGTTATGTTCGCTATGTAGCCCATGTGAATTATTGTTGTGTGTTCCTTTTGACTCACCTTTTATATGTCCTACGGGAGCCACTGTACCTGTCTGCTCTAAACAGTTTATAAAGAATTTAGCTCGTCTCGTTCTTTCTACTAACAGTATTCTCTCTTGAAATCGGGAGTTCCTCGAGTTTCCCAGCCATAGCCTGCCTAGGCTATATGCCTGTGATCGAAATCAACATATGTAGGCATAACGTTATTGTTTTCAAATATGTATTATTGGCACTGGCAGTATTATTATTATCAACACTAAATAGACACTTTTTAACTTAACAGGTCACAATTCCAGACATCACAGTGCACAAACAGTCAATGTATCCTTTAATTTTACCAGCATTGTTTCGCATAGCTGTGAGAAAAAATATACTTGCTTTCTAATTTGACGCGCTATGACACTCACGGCATGTCTGTTTTCTCTCATTCACTACTGTGCGTTCTAAATTCCAGCGTGTATATGCTCGTTCACGTGTGTAAAAAATACGCTTTTCGTTTGATTTGGGCTTAAGGAGTCGACTCAAGGAATCTGACAGTTCGTTCAGGTTCAATTGTTTAATTCATCACGATGGAAGGGTTACGCTACAACAAACACCTTGCAAGCTTGAGGTTTTTACATGGCTTATATACTGTCATATAATGCACTTCTGATTGGTCGGTGCAGAACTACACATACTTCACATATGGCATTAACATGAGGTTAACAGAGCGCTGACTGACATGGTACTTAAAAATTAATTGGTCAAATTGGTCAACTGAAGTTTCACCTCCAGGAGAATGTTGCTTGGTCAGCAACCATACTGCCCAGAATAGGCAGAGCTCTCTTCTAGAAGAATTCCTCAGCGGAGTGGCCCTTTCTAGCACAGACATCTAACGACAAGTGATGGGTTAAAACACACACAGTACTTGAGATCTCTATATGGATATACAGTTTATGGGATTAGAATAATGAAGGATAATTGGCTTCAAATCTCAATCTTCAGCTCCCTGTAAGAGTAAGACTGAGGTGTGTCTTTAGCCTAAAGTGTTGGATGGAGAGACTCAGAGAAAGAGTGTTGAAATGTAAAAAAAAACCTGTTTTAAGAGATTGGAGCCTCTCCTGAATGACCTTTGGGAAATCTATTGATGAATAGGTCATGGTTGGGTTAAGAACACAGGGAAGTGAGTGATGAGGATGGTGGTGGAAGGTGGATACCACAGTTGATGGTTTATCCTGTTCAGCCATGGTGGTTTAGTCTCCCTCTTTCTGCTTAACTTCAAACACACACATCTGGAGATGCAGGTCGGGATCTGGGGGCTGGGGCAGGGAGAGGTGGGAGTTTGTGTGTGTCTGTTGATGGGAGCGTGTGTGTGTGTGTGTGTGTGTGTTGGGAGGAGAAAGGTTTTAACTGGTTGGGGGCCTCATCAATACACATCCTGAGAGGAGGAGAGAAACGGGCAAGTTCAAGACTTGCACTTAAATCATGCATTGACGTCAATGGAAAATATTAGCAAAAACTCAAGTTCCACATGTGGATCTAACGTTAGGACTCAGGGTTTTGTCAATTTGATAAGTGAATAAATGAAATGATGCAAATTCTGCTCCATTACATGCATTTACTTGATCCCATTTAACTACATTCCATAGGCCTCACAGTAACAAGGCTTACTATGGTCTGAATGGTCTGTGCTATTATTTCCCAGGCTTTGTATGAATCTATTTCTCTAGTTGGGGTTGATTGTGTGGCATCCTGTCTCAGAGATAAGGGAATCCTTTTCTAAAACAGCATGATGGATAAGATCTTTGATATGCTGCCAGTGCCAGCCAGATATCCAGACAGTCAGCCATACAGGAGGGTCGGGACTCTTTAGTAGCATGGCAAGAAAACAAAACACGAAGCGGATTTAACTTCTTTAGGAAAACAGCCCTAATGTTTAAAACAAACATCATTATGTTGAAGTCCAGAGTCACATTGATTTATTTTCACAAGCTATAGCACACAATACTTTTTAAAGGTCTACTTCGTGTTTGAATTTCTGCCCTGGAAAAAATATATTGCGATACTGGTATCGTCCCGGCCCTACTATAGAGTCAGCCAGCCAGCTATCCAGTCAGTTATCCAGTCAGTCAGCCAGCTATACAGCCAGGCAGCCAATCCTCATCCCTCAACTGTAGGGTCTAGTTTACATTGCATTTTCCTTATTTTGTAGACTTGTTTTATCAAGTTTTTACCTTAAATTGTAGTAAGAGCGTGTTACATTCTGAAGTTGTTGCCATAGCTTTAAGTCAAAAGTGTGTGTATATATATATATATATATTTTTTTTTTTTTTTGACTGCACTGAGTCACAGAGGTCCAGGCAAGAAGCAAATCACCAGGAAATGATCAATGTTTTCAGTCGAAATTTGTTTTTACCTCATAATAACTTCCATGATATTGATAAAATGGTTTATTCTAAGGTAACTTTAATATGGTAGCTAGTGTAAGCCTAAAAGCTCCTATCTGGCAGTGACGTGCCGTGAGGTCTGAGGCCAGGTCGGCATTTTCTATTGAACCCCCCCAACAGATGCTGTAATGGCCGGTATAGCGAGGACCAGCTGCAGTAACTTTGACAGCTCGGGGACAGTCTGTGTCAGGTCATGCTGGAACAAAAAGCTGAGCTGTCCAGGTGATTTGTCTCGTACAATTTGTGAACCGTACAATCCGACAAGATCAGCCTTAAGTCTAACAAACTTTTGTGAAATTGTTTTGAATTTTTTGCAGTCCACTTAGCCAAGGAAATGAAGTTCACCAAAGTGGTCAAACCTGTCTCTCATCTGGACATTGATATTGTCCAGTAGGTTGTAGTAGATTCGCTCCCTTTCTACTCTGATCGGCTGTTTATTCAGAGTTTCACTTTCTGCCAGGCCCAGTTCATTGCGTTTCTGCTCACTTTGCTCATAAAAACGATCAAAGAGCTTTCATTGTGTTGCTGATATGGATATGGCAGAAACGCATATCAATCACTTTGTTCTGCAGAACACGGAAGAGAGCGTCAGTTTCATAAAAAATTCCATAATAGGCCATGAACAAAAAGCAGGTGGATGCCTTTGACAGCCAAAGATTTAATCCGGATGTCATGGCCAGGGTCTCACCATCCCAGTCATCTGGATTTTCCTCATAATCCAGAACAGCGCACATAGATTAGATTGGTAAAGGTTGATGGTCTGTACCAGCCTGGAGGCTGAGTTCCATCTGGCTAGCGTGGCCCTCAGGATGCATCGTTTCACCACCTCATCTAGTAGATGGGTGCGTTTGGTAGATTTGTTGAAAAACTGTCTTGAAAAAAACGTTGAATGAATTTTGCGGACTGAGAGAGCACCAAGTTAAACTTGTGGGCATAACAATGGGTGTATGTGATTTCAGGTACTCTCTCTTTTATCTTCGCCTCGATCCCAGTCAGCTCTGATGTGATCACAGAGGCTCCATGATAGGTTTGAGCTACCAGTTTTTCAGCATAGTTGTACATGCCCAATTTCATCCAAAACATATTCTGATATTGCGGCTGCTCATCTGTCATTGCTCACGTTATCAAAGCCCAGAAAAAAAGCCTCCTTTACCTCACTCTTAGAGACATAGAGCAAAACGATAGATATCTGGCCTTGGTAACATCTGCCGACTCATCAACTTCAACAGCAACAAACGGTGCAGCATTGCTCTCCTGTTTAATGTCATTTCGGATTACTTCCCTGACTGACTGATCAAATCATTCTGTATTGACGTACCCGGAAACACGGTGGAAGTCTCTAAATGGGTTGCTAACTCTACATTTTTTCCAGCAAAGGCATGTAACAGTTCCACATAGTTGCCCCTGTTTGATGAGCTGGCACTCTCATCATTGCCACAAAATGGCAAACTCCTGTTTACCTCGGTAGCATGTAGCATTAAAATCTCACGGTTCTCTTTTACCCTTGCATTGTGCATGCTGATGTTCAATCTCTGTTGTTCATTCAATGCAAGATCTATCCGTGAGCTTCCAAATGTCTTAAGAGCTGTCTGGCTTTGGATGTGAGACAGATTTCTCATGCTTGTTGAGTGCTATAGGCAAGTTGTTCAAGTCGCAGTAACCGGCTCTTGTCCACACGCTGTTGCTGGTGGAGACCAGCAGGCAGGGGAAGCAGTAGAGTCGGATGCTAGCAGCACAGGCACAGAAGTCTTTCCGTTGATACCAGGCAGATTAAATGATCATGTTACTTTCTGTCCCTTCCTTTGATTTAGGTCCCTAAGCTCAGGTGATGGTCTTCCATCCCTTATCACCCCCTGTTTCACTAGAAAATCCAACTTCGAAAACTCTTTCAGATGCAATATATCTTGATCAGCTTACTTTTAGCTAGCAGTAAAACGAACGTCCGTATGGAGGAGTCCATAGGCAGGAGTCCATAGGCAGGAGTCCATAGGCAGGAGTCCATAGGCAGGAGTCCATAGGCAGGAGTCCATAGGCAGGAGTCCATAGGCAGGAGTCCATAGGCAGGAGTCCATAGGCGACCTCTGCCTATCCCATTCATTTTTTCACGCTAAAACATATGCACATTTATTATTTGAGTGCAATGAAAATAAATGGGACATATTGACACATGAAAGGCAGCGAAGCTCTCAGCCTTTTGGCGTCTGTTAGCTGGCAGTATAATGTAGAAACACACATGTGCAAGTCATGTCAATGCCTTGCATTGAGTTTGACGAGAAAGGCACACATCGAGGCTGACTATCCCCTGGCCTTCTTGCGCATTTTGTACCAGATCACCGCAAAATTTGGGAAATGTTAGTTCAGACATCGATTTTATCATGCAGAAAAAACATAACAATTACTAAATGATTATTGATAAAAATGTATACATCGATTTTTTTCTTAATTTTTTTTCTGCCCTGACCGCACGTCACTGAGCTATGGTTTAGCTAAACATTGTGTTGAATGTCATGTTGCCAGCCACAACTAAAGGTAAGGTATGGCAAGGATGTAATGTGAATTGAAAAGTCGAAATCTCTTTCGCCACTCCGGTCCTAAGACTCTCCTTCATCTCTCGTAGTGGGAATAGGGCCTTAGTGTAGTAGTGTCCAACTGTTGAGCTCATTTTGCCTCTGGTAACGGAATTAGGCTGAGACTCAGATTTTTCACTTTCAAATGTATTCCAAACAAAAACCATTGATTTTCTAAATTTAACAAACCATAGAACTAAACTCAGCAAAAAAAAGAAATGTCCTCTCACTGTCAACTGCGTTTATTTTCAGCAAACTTAACATGTGTAAATATTTGTATAAACATAAGATTCAACAACTGAGACATAAACTGAACAGGTTCCACAGATATGTGACTAACATAAATGGAATAATGTGTCCCTGAACAAAGAGGGGGTCAAAATCAAAAGTAACAGTCAGTATCTGGTGTGGCCACCAGCTGCATTAAGTACTGCAGTGCATCTCCTCCTCATGGACTGCACCTGATTTGCCAGGGCACCTGCAAGTTCCCGGACATTTCTGAGCCTGCAGGAAGGGTACCACATGAGGGAGGAGGATGTCTTCCCTGTAACGCACAGCGTTGAGATTGCCTGCAATGACAACAAGCTCAGTCCGATGATGCTGTGACACACCGCCCCAGACCATGACGGACCCTCCACCTCCAAATCGATCCCGCTCCAGAGTACAGGCCTCGGTGTAACGCTCATTCCTTCGACGATAAACGCGAATCCGACCATCACCCCTGGTGAGACAAAACCGCGACTCATCAGTGAAGAGCACTTTTTGCCTGTCCTCTCTGGTCCAGCGACGATGGGTTTGTGCCCATAGGCGACGTTGTTGCCGGTGATGTCTGGTGAGGACCTGCCTTACAACAGGCCTACAAGCCCTCAGTCCAGCCTCTCTCAGCCTATTGCGGACAGTCTGAGCACTGATGGAGGGATTGTGTATTTCTGGTGTAACTCGGGCAGTTGTTGTTGCCATCCTGTACCTGTCCCGCAGGTGTGATGTTCGGATGTACCAATCCTGTGCAGGTGTTACACGTGGTCTGCCACTGCGAGGACGACCAGCTGTCCGTCCTGTCTCCCTGTAGCACTGTCTTAGGCTTCTCACAGTACGGACGTTGCAATTTATTGCCCTGGCCACATCTGCATTCCTCATGCCTCCTCCTTGCAGCATGCCTAAGGCACATTCACGCAGATGAGCAGGGACCCTTGGCATCTTTCTTTTGTTGTTTTTCAGAGTCAGTAGAAAGGCCTCTTTTAGTGTCCTAAATTTTCATAACTGTGACCTTAATTACCTACCGTCTGTAAGCTATTAGTGTCTTAACGACCGTTCCACAGGTGCATGTTCATTAATTGTTTATGGTTCATTGAACAAGCATGGGAAACAGTGTTTAAACCTTTTACAATGAAAATCTGTGACTTTTTTTTGCATTTTTACGAATTATCTTTGAAAGACGGTCCTGAAAAAGGGACGTTTCTTTTTTTGCTGAGTTTATATGCAGAAGGATGGCTTTTAACAATTTCCGCTGAACATTTTACAAAACACATTTACAGGAGGGCATTTTCATGTAAGAAGCCCCATGAGCGTGAAGTTCATAGGAGCAAATATTAGTGAGAAATTAAGGCATATCTAAAAAAAATGTCCCTCCAAACATTTTTGAATAAGCAAAGGCTTTGATTTCTGGTTAAACAAATGGAAAAGTGGTCTTTTGAAAACATCTAGCAGAAAAAGTCTAAAAGGTATTAGAATAACATAAAAAACAGTCATGTTTAAGTAAAGACCCCTGCCAACTAATATCAACATGTACTTTATATTTAGTTTTGCTGAAATTACCAACAACAAACTTTGGGGGTGATCATCGGGGAGTGCTCTGTTGTAACTAGCTATTCTGCACTCAATTGTAACAGTTAATACACAAGTTATACATCGTTTTGAAGTGAAGAATCTCCTCTTTCCAGCAGAGTACAAAACTCCAAATGTGTTTAGGGGTCAATGTGATTGATTATATGATGGAGCAAGTCACAATTATGCATTCCTGTATAGTACAGATCAGGGATTGATGATGTCATTCTGTTACCATCATTCTGTTACCGGGTGTTTAAAATAATTTTATATATATTTATCGGGTGTTAATCCACTTCACTTACTGTAGTTCAATAACCAATTATAAAAAAATTCTAACTAAAGATGTCATATCATAGCTGACACCCCATTCTTTCTGCAGACATCTTTGAATCTTAATTCAGAGTAGGAAAATGTGGTCACATAAAAAATGGAGGGAGATTTTACCATCATTCTGTCACCAACTTTACATCTGCACTGTTCTTCGAGTAAATGTGTTTTTGTACAATTTTCTGTGGGCATCTTACAGTGGGATTCACCAGAATCTTCTAAGTAGCTCGAAAAACCAATCATATACACGTCTGTCAGAGACAGACAGGTCGAGTAGTGAATGAAGGAGCCCCTCATACTAAAGAGCCACTCGCCTGCCCTCTGATCATTCTCACCTCTCTTCCTCACAGAAGAGTTCTACTTAGCTCTCCTCAGCACAACTTTATTTGTTTTCCTGTTTAACTGTTCACAGGTGTGGCATCAAGGTTACGCCGCCGAGCGCAGGGTTATCAGCTCTCGTCTTTTGTGTTGAACGACATACAAAAAGAAAAGTTTTCGCTGAAAAAATGTGCTTCACCGCTTTCCTTACTTCATTTCATGTTGTAGCTAGCATCTCACGGCTAGCTGTGGACACTTGGCTAGCTTAGCTGCAAGGCTTAGCTAACCTAGCTAGCTCGCCACAAGGCTAGTTATCCTACCCACTAGCCTTTCTAGCTTTTCTACCTTGTTTAGTTCAACCCACTACAAGCGTTCACTAGACTTAACGTCACTGCTTATCAGTCGACAGCCGATACAAGGAAAGAGCCATCATACAATACAGTATATGGAGTCTAAATGAGGAAACCTAGCACCATTCCACTAGTAGCTAGCTACCATAGATGTTCACAAAACGCAACAACATAACACTGTCATTTGGTCATGAAACAACAACATATCAACAGAGATGCAACTGGAAAAACATCTTAAGTAAAACATTACTTAGAGACAATGCAACTGTAGGATAAACTATGAAGGATGGCAGTAGATACTGGAAGATGGAGTATAATGTGCATCTTATTGCACCATATTGTAATTGAATGGCCTCTAACCTTGTCACATGACATGAGTTAAATAAAACGAGCATATCTGACCAATAGGGGGCGAGAAGGTAAAGAAATGTCTAGCTGGAAACATGACAGCCATGCTTTTGTTCGTTGCAAGACAAACATAGCGCTAGCGTCATTTGGCTAATTTTGTGCTAACTAGGTAGGTTACTAGCCCACGTTGCGAACACTACCTGTGTTCACATTGTTATAGGATTAGCTTCTCCGGCCAGCACTGTGCTAGTTGGCTAGGCTACTAGCCCAAGTGGCGAACGCTAGTTACTTTTCACTTTGTTCTCGGATTAACTGTTTTCTGGAG